CAGAAACAAAGATCTGAATATCACATGTTCTCACTCATAAGTGGACCTTGAACAACTATTATAATACTATAAGAAAAGGATTGACAGTGGCGGGAAACTATGGGGGTGACAGGGAGGGGAAGGGATTTGGGATTAATGGTAGTCGATATCTGTCTGGGGACAGGGGGGCACACCTCATCAACGAGGGTTCCTGCACAATGCATATTTGTATACCTAACCCTTAACTGTACCTCACAATTTTAAAATAAAAATAGGATTTTTTAAAAAAAGAAAATACAAGACTGAAAACACAAGTTTTTATCAGTCACAATGTTCTCATCTTTTTTTATTTTTAACTACTATTAATCTGTTTTTCAGTTAGCTATATAGAGAAATCCCTGCATAGAATCTTGATTTTTTAAAAAATTTATTATCTCTTCTTTGTAGTAATGTAGCTACCTTGAAAACATCTAGCAAATCTTTACCATATTCTACAATTCCTGATAAGGTCTCAGTGTTTATGATCACTGTTGGGAACAAGCAGCTATCTTTGGTTGGCTTCTTTATAGACTCCTTCTACAGTAGTTATATTTGTGATCATGCAACTGATAAAATATTTAATCCTAATAGCTCTTAAAATTGGATCTTAGAAGTATAGCATTTCCTTTGTCATTCTTACTCAGTTGAACTAATAGAAGTTCTTCTATTTTTAATTTCCTATAACAAGTTACTAGTAAACATATAATGTAATCACAAGCAGACCAATTTTAAAACAGGGGTTTTTAATTTATTTTTTCTTTCTTTTCACTCATAGGATGCCACAGTAATGGAGTATAGAATTTAATGTACAACTAAAATGAGTGCATCTTAAGAAAGCAGTACGTTAGGATAGCCAAGAGCACAGACTTTATGAGCAACTAGATTCCAGATATAGTTCTGCCTTTCATTTGCTGTGTGACTACAGGCAAATTATTTAATCTTCCTAGCTCAAGTTTCATAATTTATTAAATATTATGATAATAGATCTGTTTTTAAAGGGTTATTGTAAGGACTGAGTGAAATATGCATGCATATAAAGTTCTTGGCATTGAACCTGACACAGGTAAGTGCTCTATAGCTTCTGTCACCATCATCATTATTAAATTCCCTGCAAATATGAAACAGAAAGCAACTCTGAAATATTGACTATAAAAATGATATATACATAAACATGTAATATTTACATGCTATCTTAGGTTCTCTGGACAGTAGACTCTAAGACCTAAGAGGTTTCTATGCAGAAAGTTTACTGGGGAGTACCCTTGGGATTGTCACCTTTGGGGGTCAGAAGAAAGTAGGATGGAGATACTATAGTCCCAACCAAGGGTTCATTAGATGCCATGGGGGCTTTGGAGCTGGGATGACCCCTCAGAGTTGTCCTGCCTAAGGAAGAGTGCCTGATCTTTACTCTTGCACTGACCAGTAATTAGATACTGGCTTCCCTCTTACCCCACAGGGTGTGACCTTGGGTGAGACTGCTCTCTTAGGCCAAGGGCAAGTCCCAAAGACGAGTTCAACTAAGATCTTTCGTCCAGCCAACCCTCCCTGCAGCTGTGGGTATAAGCAAGTCATTCCTGAAGAGCAGGATCTGGATGGCACATCACAGCATCCCTTACTCTGTGCTAATTTTGTTAAACTTCAATTTTATACTTGGAAAAGGGACTAAATTTAGCATAAAAGAGGAAGATTCCAAAGTACTCTAAGAGTGCCATTTAATTAAATATAAAGTAATACTTGAAGAAAATACTTCTCCCACAGTGCTGGTCACCTGATGAGGATTCTGAATAAATTTGCATTCCTGACTACCTCTCTAACCTCTGCCACATTCCCTGCCTCCAGCCTCCCTGGCTTTTCTCAGTTCCTACATATTCTTTCTGTTTAGAGTGTCTTTCTGCCTGCCCTCCCACCTCAATTCATTTCTCACTTGACTCTTTAATCATATCTTCTCTCATCCATATATCTGATGTCTATTTCCCTGGCTATGCTGCATTACAGCCCCTTGGTGAATTCCTTTCTTGGCTCCCACAATATATACTTACATTTCATGTGCTTGTTAACTGTCTCCACCATTAGACTATAAGTTTCATGAATACAGCAGCCATATTTGTTTTCTTTGCATTACATTCTCAGTACATACGAGGTGGGACCCCAAAAAACCCAGAATTTATTTATAAAATATTGTGTATTCATTCTTACATGTTCAAACTTCAGTCACTTTCAAAGTACTCTCCATTTGATGGAATACATCTGTCGAGATGCTTTTTCCACTGCTCAAACAGTTTTTGAACTCATCAATTTTGATGCCATTAGTGCTTCTGCCGTTTTTTGTTCACCTCTTCCACATCTGCAAAACATTTCCTTTTGATGACTTATTTCATCCAAGGAAACAAAAAAAAGTTGCTCAGGGTAAATAGAAGTGGGCCACGGGGGTCATGCTGTTTTTAGTCAAAAATGCTGAACACTCAGTGTGGTATGGGCAGGTATGCTCATAAATCCCCCATCAAGAAATGAGCAAACATGTTGAAAAAAATCTCAAAAAAAAATTCACTGAAGCCAAACAGTGGCTAATACACTGATGCCAGTGGGTTTCTAGAACACTTACCTAGTGGGGGAAGCCTGTACTATGAGGGACCCACCCTCTAAAAAAAAAATTCTGTTTTTTTGGATGTGGTGCCTTCTTGTATATGTTGGATGAATGAGTCAAAGTTCTATGATCGATAGGGAATATATATGCTTTTTCATATAGAGTCACACCCAAACCTACCTGTCCTTCTCATCTCTACAGTTTTTATGTGTGGATAGTATTTGTTTAAATCTATACTTATTTTCTTGCTGAAAATAATTCCATATAATAACTTGGGGCTCATACATTCTTCTCTTAGTGGATCTTGGAAATGCCCCTATTAATAATGAATGTTTGGCTTAAAACATATGGACCAAAAAATCTGTGTCTGAGATATTCAAATGTTTATGCATAGGGTTATATAATTTATGTAATTGGAGAGTCATTGTCCAGAGAGAAGAGTGAATTGTTAGACTGCTCATCCTTTGTGTGCCCAGTAGTAAAGTATTCAGGAAGTTTTAAAGTAATAAAGGTAGTCAAAAAATAATATAAGTAGTTTTGTTTTTTCTTTAAGTACTTTAGATACCACAGTTCTTTAATAGCTTTCTTCATGGAGAAACCTGTATGCTTGCATCTACCTGCCCCTCCTCTTCTATTCTAGTCTTAGTAATTAACAGCCCCCACCCCCTGTCTCCACATCTAGAAACCGCCAACCAGCCTCATCTCCTCCTCCTCCCCTATATTCCTTACTCTCTTCCATCCAGGCAGTCACTAAATGTTGTCATTTCTGCCTCAGAAATTTTTCACCTCTGACACCTGCAACCCCATTCATGTTTCTGGAGAGAACATACAACTTCACTATCTCTTATGTAAATTATTGTACCTCCTGCACTTGTCTCTGCTGTTTATCTCTTCCATTTCTCATCCGATGTCTGTACTGCCTCCAGGGTAGTCCTGAAAAACAA